ATCCTCATTGTCTTTTCCTAGGGTATTGTTTAAAATTTTTTGGAGTGCTGGTTTGGTATTCATGATGTTCCTTAGGTGCTCTTTGTCATGAAAGTATCTTATTTCTTCATCAATTTTGAAAGATAGTTTTGCAGGGTACATCAATCTGGGTTGGTGGTTGTTTTCTCTTAGGGCTTAAAATACTTCACTCCAGGGTCTTCTTGACTTGAGGGTGTGTGTTGATAACTCTGCTGTGATTCTGATGGAGTTTCCTTTCTATGTGATTTGTTTCTTTCTCTAACTGCTTGTAGAATTTTGTTATTCTGTTTGCTTTCTGGAATCTTTATTATATGCCTAGGTGTAGATTTTTTTTGATCATGGCTAGTTGGAGTCCTATATGCCTCATTTATCTGTATGTCAAGTTCTTTCCCACTGCTTGGGAAGTTTTCTGCCATTACTTCTGTGAACATCTTTTTATGTCATTTGCACTCTCCTGTTTTTTCATTGAATCCAGTCAGTCTTATATTGTTCTTCTTTGCATCATCTATTAGCTGCTTGATTGATTTCACATTGTCATTTACTATTTTTAAGAAATTTTTCTTTTCCTGATCACTAATTGCAATTCTGTCTTTTATTTCTGATATTCTGCCATCACATTGGCTCATGCTGCTGCATAAAATATCAGTGGAGTTTTTGATCTCCTGGATATCTATTTGCACCTGTTGTATGGATTCCATTTGTTTCCTATGCTGGGATTTCACATGTTCCTCAGCTTCTCTATTTTTTTAATCTGTGTCTCCTCTAGAGTTATTAATCATTTCTTGCACTAAGAACACAATCTCTGTTGTTAACTGAGAAATTATTTCTGATTTCATTTTTTCCAGAGCCTCTTTCATTGCCAGTTCAGGGAGTCTAGGTGGTTGAGTATCAGATTATTCCATCTCGTTTCCCTTTGGAATTGCCTTAGGTGATCTGGAAGTCTGGTTTTAAGATTTGTTTAGGTATCTTTTCATTTCAGTAAATGCAGCCTGCTGTGCCTTTGTTGAGGCAACTGTTTTTTGTTTTTGTTTTTAAAGGTGAAGGGATTTATTTGGCTTACAGTGCATAGAGGTTTTAGTCCATAATCAGCAGACTCCCAAGCAGGGATGACAAACAGGCATGGCAGAGCAGAAACAACCAGGCAGCAAGTGTAACAAGAGAGTTAACAGCATCTTCCTGTCCTGCTCCTTTTATCTTATTCAGACTACTGAGGGTGGGTAGCATTCACACCCTTAATCCTAGTGCCCTTTAGCCTAGCATTGCATCATGAATTACTTCCAGCTTTATGCACTCTACATCAAATCTATGACCACATGAGGCTTTGTGGGGACATCTAGAACCAAACTATAACATTCTACCCCTGCCCCCCCAAGATCATGTGCGTTCCTTTACACAAAAAGCATTTAGTTAATCTCTTAAGAGTTGCCAAATTCCTTACAGTTTCAGTTTTGCTGAAAAGTCCAAGCCCAAAATCTCCTTTGAGATTTAAGAAAAACACTTAGCTAAGCAAGACCCTGTACAAATGAAAAGAAAGTCAAATGTTTCCAACGTTCAGTGGAACAAGACATACATTACCATTCCAAAAGGTACAAATAGGAGGATACAAAGGAGTGGGACCAAAATAAGTCCAAAATCCAATAGGGGAAACATTAAATCACACAGTTCCATTTCTAGCATCTGAGGCAATCTGTCACAAGTTGTGAACTCCAAAGGGTTTGGGTGGCTCCACCCCTGTGGCACTTCTGGTGATTGTAGCTCCTGTGACTTCTCTCTGGGGCTGGCTCTGCTCCCTCTTTGCAGGTTTCTTGAGGCAACCCATGCTCTTGGCTTCTTCAAACTTCTGGAGTGCACTTTTGGCTTTACACTCACAGCTTCACACATTGCCCTTTCATGGACACCCTGCCTGGCTTCCCAGGTCTTCTTCTGAAATCTAGGTGGAAAACTTCCTGACCCCACAACTCTTACATTCTGCATGCGCCTAAAACCAGCATCACATGGTTGATGCCAAGGTCTTCTGTCAGCTGGAGGAGTAGTAGACAGTTTTCCATGTTGGCTGTAGGGGTCCAGTGCTTGGATTGCTGAGCCCTCTGAACCCAATCCCAAGGAACAAATTCTCTAGGCTGCTGCCATTTTGGAACAGCTTCCCTAGACTGCCACTATTCTGGAACATGGTGTAGCTGTCACCATTTTGGGACCTGGTATTGAGGTGACTTTTTGCTTGACCAGTGGTCTTCAATTCTCAGAAAGCCACTGAGAGGCCTTTTCTCTGCTGCTTACCACTAGGCCAATTCCAATGGTGTCTGGGCGAACCTCTGACTGTTGCTTGCCCACCTGTGTAGCTCTTTTCCAGGCAGGCCTTTGGTTGGAGCCTGTGGGCACAAGCTGCTGGTGTCTGGGTGGGGCCCTGGCTAGGACCTGCTTCCCTTCCACCCACTCAGCTCTGTTCCACACCAGCTTCTTGCAGGGATCTGTGCACAATTATGGATGGAATCTGGGAGGGCCACTGGATGTTGCTTGTGTGACTGTGCAGCTCTTTTTATGGGAGAGCCCTGGCTGGGATCTGTGCGCACTTACTGATGTAACCTGGGCCTACCTTTCTAATTTCAATCCTGTATTTCTTTATCTAATTTGCTAAAGGGTTATCTATGACGTCAGCCATTTTGAAAGACTGGCTCTTTGTTTTAATCCCATATTATTATATTTCCATTTGTTTAATATTTTTATAAATTACTACTTCCTAGGTTTTGTTTTTGTTTAATTTTTTTCCCTCCTGATTGTGTTTTAGATTAAACACATAATTCTTTTTTAATATTTATTTTTAATTAAAATAAAGCCATTTGAAGCCATAAATTGCAGTATAAATACAATTTTATGTTCCATAACTTCTGGTAAAAATTATATAGCTTCTGTATTGATTTTCCACTTTGATATTGTTTTTCTGTTTCTGTGAATATGCCTATTCTGAACATTTGACAAATGGAATCATAAAATATGAGGTCTTTTGTGACTGATTTATTTCATGTAGGATAACAGTTTCAAGGCTCATCCATTTTGTTGCAGGTACAGGACTTCTTTTTTTTCAGATTTAATTGAGTTTATTGGTACATTTTAGGGATACAGTAGTTACATTCATTGTTGGGATCTTGTACCTCTACATGACAAGCCTTGCTTCTCATTTTTTCCCCTTGTAGGACTTCTTTTTTTGTTGCCAAGGAATATTCTGTATATGGATGTACAATTTTTTTTTATCCAGTTTGTGGACATTTTTGTTTCCACTTTGGGCTACTATGAGTAATGTTGTTCTAATTCTATACAAATTTTGGAGTGGACATGCTTTTTCATTTCTTTTAGGTAGATAATAAGGAGAGGAACTGCTGGGTCATATGGTAACATATGGTTATCATTTGGAGGATCTATCAAACTTTTTCAGAGTAGCTGTACCATTTTATAACCCCAGTAGCAATGTATGAGAATACCAATTTATTCACATCTCACCAACACTTAATGCCTTTAAAATTTTTAAAAAACCATTCTAATGGATGATATCCTAAAATATTGGATATTTTGGTTTTGATTTGCTTTCTCTAATGATTAATGATATTGAACATCTTATGCTATGTTCAGAGACTATATATACCCTGCCTATTCTTAACATCAAAATATCACACCTGGATGTGGAGGTGCTCTCCTGTAATCCCAGATACTTGGGAGGCTGAGGTCAGGAGATCTCAAGTTCAAGGTCAGTCTTGACACCTACAGAAACTCTGTCTCAAAATAAAAAAAGACTGGGTAGAATGACACTGGGTTCAATCCCTGGTACCCCAAATAAAAAATTTTTGTAAAAGTTTCACAGGTGTAAGGAAGCGTAGTCTTTGTTTGATATAATATCCTCTTTATGCTTTTAAAATTTAACTTGTTCATGCCTTTTATATATTTTAATTTATTTTATTTTCTCATTTCTTTTTCATCTCATTTCTTAAATCTATTGTCTTAATTAAGTTCCTCTTCATTTTAAGTAGATATTTTCCCCTTTCTAAGAAGAATGTCTAAATCTATGGTGCCTCTTTTAGTTGATCAGTGTAAAATTGTAGTTCACCTTGGACACAGAGACACTCTTTCCTCCCTGGTTCACTCAACTAGAGAAATAGTTTTACCTGTGGATGTTTTTTGAGATAATTAAAAATTTTACTCCCAAGTCATTAATATTTTCTTCATGGCATGCCTATTACAAATTTTAACTTTTTTATCCCAAATTCAGTCATATTTTCAACATCTGTTAGGCAGAACAATGTTTATTTTGGGCCTACCATGTAAAAGGTGCCATATAATATAATGTTCAGAACATGAACGTTGGAGCCAGGTAGACTGTGTTTGATTTACCACTATTAAACCTGGTTCCTTTATGTATAAAATTAAATAATAATAATTACAGCAAGATATATGTGATAGGATTTTGTGCAAATTATATGACCTCTGCAAATTACCTGCCTCAGTACATTACACAGTTCCTCATGCACCTCGTATATCCCTTATCTAAAATGCTTTCAACCAGATATATTTTAGATTTTGTATTTATAATTATTACCACTTTCATCATACAAATTAATGGGATTCACTGTGATATTTCTATATATACATATATCATGCATTGGCTGTGTCTATCCTCCCAGTAGTCCCTCTTCTACATTAAGATCAGCTTTTCTTATTTTTAAATATTTTTTAGTTTCCACATATGAGAGAAAACGTGCATTACTTGTGTGTGTGTGTGTGTCTGTGTGTCTTATTTTTAAACCTTTATTAATTTTAGTCCAAATCTCATGGTCTTGCTCACATTCCATATTGATTAATAAGAGCAATAGGTATTTCTAGGACTCTGTCCACCCTTTAGTTTCCAGTGCAGGGAACTGTACTTTGCTGTCACCAGAAAAATATTTGTGTGGTGATGCTGTATGACTCTGACCATGTGAACACTGTCTTTCCAGATTTCTTGGAGTCTCTTCAGAGTCCCTGGGCCACACCCCATATTGAATGCTGCAAGATCTTCCTTCTGACCCTAGCTGCTCCAGTTGATTCCACAGACCTCACCAGACTTGGAGAACCTTGGAAAAGCAAGTGGTCAGCAAGAGAGCGCTAGGGCTGAGGTCCAGTGTGAACATGGCAGCCATTGGGAACTCTTTCCAGCCAGAGGGATGTGGCAACACCTGTGAGGTGAGGAGGAAAAGGTGCCTGGGATTAGGAACTCATCCAGAACTTCAGAGCCTAAAGGAAGGATACTATCTTGTTTTCATATACAGTACTTTTTTGCAGGATCATTTTCCCTGCATGCTTTGTTTTTTCAATGCTGGGGACAGAACCTAGGGCATGCTGGGCAAGTGCTCTACTACTGAGCTATATCCCAGCCTCTCTACATTTTTACTGGTCATTTATTTTCCTTTTGTGAATTTTCTTTTCCTGTTCACTGCTGATTAATTTATTTTAGTTCATGGATTTAAAATTTTTTAATATTAAGATTGATAACATTTTCTATTCTTGTATATTTTTGTGAATACTTTGCCATAGTGTAATTCACAATTAACTTGTAGTTTTGTTTACAGTGATAAAATGTATCAAATAGTCCTCTAATGCTCTGTTTGAAAAATGGCCATTTTCTATTCCCCCAGATTCCAGCTTCCCAGAAGCAAACAGTTTTATTTTTTTCAATAAAATTTTTAAAGTTTAGGGCATCTTCTGATAACTTTCGATTATGAAAGATTGATATTTATCTTTTCCATATACCCTCCACTCACATACACGTTTTCTGTAACCCCTTCCTCCTTACATAAATATAGTGTATTTCATTGTTTTGGTGAAGTTTACAGTCAGTGTTTATTACTATGAAAATTTATAGTTGAGTCATACAGTATATATCTTGTGATTACTATCTCTGTACAACAACTTTTTCCTGGAATTAACAATTCTCTAGTTCAGACATTTGTTTATGTAATTCGACTCTAGGGCTGGAAGTGTAGCTCAGTGATAGAATATTTGCCTAGTATGTGCAAGGCCCTGGGTTTAGACCCTAGCATAGCAAATTAATTAATTAATTAATTAATTAAATAAAAATAAGTAATTCAACTCCAAATTCTTCCTATTCATTTAGATCTCTACTGCATATATTGAAACACGTAGGTAATAGTCATAGTAATATTAATACTCTTCTATTTACTTATTGACTAATCATAATTAAAATATATATAGATTATTTGATGTGTGTGTATGTGTGTGTAAAATGTGACATGACTAAATCAAGCTAATTACATGTCCATTGCTGTACTTACCTATCATTTTTCATGATGAGACATTTGAAATTATTCTTACTTTGAAATGTGTAATGCATTATTATTATTGCACAGTAGTTACCCTGCTGTGCAATTCATAGTAATAGTGATTACAAGTACTTTTCAGGTTTTACCATGTGTCCAGTACTATTGCATACAATTTATATGTGCTAAGTCCTTGTGAAGTAGGAGTCATTTTTAACCTCATTTTATTTTTAATTAATATTTATTGGTAAATTTTTGACATATATAATGATCACATTTATCACAGGGAATTTGTACCTATACATATGTATATCTTCTTTCTTTTTTTCCATTTCCCTCCCCTCCCTTCAACCCTTCTTCCCTTCCCCATTAAAAAAACTTTGTTTCCATTGTTTTCCTTCCATTCTTTTTAATCTCTATTTCCTTATTTCCATTTTTTTCCTTTCATTCTCTTTTTTCCCCTTTCCTTTTCTTTCCCTTCCTCTTCCCCCACTCCCTTGTTACTCTTCTCATTTGAATATGTTCTTCCTACTTCCCAGTGTCTGTCTACCATTTTGCTCATTTACCATTTGGGTTTCTCACACAAGAGAAACAATGCTTGCTTTATTTATTTGTTTGTTTGTTTGTTTAGACAGGGTCTTACTATGTAGTTGAGACTGACCTGGAACTCACTTGTAGCCCAGGCTAGTCTCAACTCAGCGATCCTCCTGCCTCAGCCTCCAGAGTGCTGAGATTACGGGCGTGCGCCACCACACCCGGCTCACAATGCCATATTTAAACATGTGTGTCCAATTTATTTCACTTAAAATTATGTTCTCAAGGTGTATGTATTTACCTAAAAATGTTTCAAATTTATGTTTTTTTGAGACAAGGTCTTACTATGTAGTCCAGGCTGCCCTCAAACTCACTGTGTAGCACAGGATGGTTGGTGATCCTCCTGCTTAAGCCTCAGAGTGATGGGATTACAGGCAGGGGTCACCACACCCAGCAAGCTCACCCTTCTTTATGGCAGAATAGTACTTCATTATATGTATAAACCAAATTTCATTCATTGATGGGCATATAGATTGTTTCCAAGATTTAGCTATTATTAATTGTGCTGCTATAAACATAGGTATACATATATCACTGAAGTATGATGTTTTTAACTCAGGAAGATACCTACAAGGGTAATAGCTGGGTCAAATGGAACCTCTACTTTTAGTTTTTTGAGGAATCTCCATACTGAGTTCCATAGTAGTTGTACCAATTTACACTGCCACCAACAGTGGAGAAGGGTTCCTTTTACCCCACAGCCTCGTCATTTGTTATTGGTTGATTTCTTTATGATAGCCATTCTTTCTAGAATGAAATCTCAGCTGTATTTTAATTTGTATCTCTAAAATGACTGGTGATGTTGAAGATTTTTTCATATATTTGTTTTCTGTTTGTACTTCATCATCTAAGAAGTATCTCTTTATTTCACATGTCCATTTTTGGATTGGGTCTTTAAATTTGGGGGGTCTGGTTTTTGTGAGTACTTTATATATTCTAAATATTAGTCTTTTGTCTGAGAAGTAGCTGGCAAAATTTTTTTCCTCCATTTCTCTTCACCCTGTTGTTGTTTTTTTCCGTGTCAAAAGCTTTTTATTTATTTTAAAAAGCAAAAGCTCTTTAATTTGATGTGTTCCCAGTTTTTTATTATTTGTAGTATTTCCTGTGGGATTGGGGTTTTTTTCATAAAGTCTTTGCCTACACCTTTGTCATCAAGACTTTTACCTATTCTATCTTCCAGTAGATTAAGAGTTTTAATATTTAAATTTTTTTATCCATTTCGATTTTGGTTTAGTGCATGGTGCAAGATATGGGTATAAGTTTAATCTTCAGAATGGGGAAAGCTAATTTTCCTAGCACCATCTATTAAAAAGGCTATCTTTCTTCCAGTGAAGGTGTTTGGCCCATTTGTCAAAGATAAGGTGGTTGAATGTACTTGGAGTTGTTTCTGCATCCTCTATTCTATTCCATTGATCCTCAGGTCTGGTTTTTGTTGTTTTTGTTTCTTTTTTTTTATTTTTGCCAGTAGTATGATGTATTTATCACTGTAGCTTTGTATTATAACTTCAAGTCAGGGAATGTGATATCCTCTGCCTTTCCCTTACTGGTCAAAATTGCCTTTGCCTTTCTAGGTCTATTTTGGCTCCATGTGGATTTTAGGATTGTTTTCTCTAGTTATATGAGGTATATTATTGGTATTTGACTGGGATTACGTTAAATCTGTGTAACAGTTTTGGAAGTGTGGCTGTTTTCTTTCTTTCTTTCTTTCTTTTTTTGAGACAGCATCTCACTATGTAGTTGAGACTGTCCTGGAACTCACTATGTATTCCATGCTGGTCTCAAACTCACAGCAATCCTCCTGCCTCAGCCTCCTGAGTGCTGGGATTACAGGCATGAACCACTACTCCCGGCATGGCTATTTTCACTGTATTGGTTGTTCCTATCAAAAAACAGGGGATCTCTTTCCATTTTCTAATATCCTCTTCAGTCTTCTTTTTCAGAGTACTATAGTTTTCACTATAAAGGTCTTTCACTTACTTCATTAGATCAATTCCTAGGTATTTCATTTTTTTAAATGCTATTGTGAAAGGTGTTGTTTCCCTAATTTCCTTCTCAGGGAGTTTGTTATTTATGGACAGGAATGCTATTGATTTTTTACTTTTTATTTTGCTACACTGCTGAATTTGGTTATTAAATCTAGGAGATTTTTGGTAGAGTTTTTGGGGTCTTCTACATAGAATATCATGTGATCTGCAAATAATGACAATTTAAGTTCTTCCTTTCCTATCCATATTCCTTTTCTTTCTTTCTCTTGTCTAATTGCTCTGGCGAGTGTTTCCAGAGCTATATTGAACAGGACATCCTTGTCTTATTCCTCACTTTAGAATGAAAGCCTTCGGTTTTTGTCCATTTAGTATGATGTTGGTAATTGGTTTGTCATAGATGGCTTTCATCAGATTGAGGTAAGACCCTTCTATTCCAATTTTCTGGAGTTTTTTTTTCATGTATGGGTTGAACTTTGTCAAACAATTTTTGTGCATCTACTGAGACAATCGTGTAGTTTTTTTTTCCCTTGGTCCTGTTGATGTAATATATTACATTAATTGACTTAGCTATGATGTTGAACCATCCCCGCATCCCTGGATGAATTCTACTTGGTCAAGATGTATAATCTTTTTGATGATTTGCTGCATTCTATTCACCAGTATCTTTTTTTTTTTTTTTTCTTTTTTTGGTACGGGGAATCAAACTCAGGTCCTTGTGCTTGTGAGGCGGAACCACTGAGCTAAATCCCCAGCTCGCCAGTATCTTTTTGAGGATTTTTGCATCTGTGTTCACTAAAGAGACTCATCTGTGATTCTCTTTTTTTGTTGTTTGATCCTTCTCTGGTTTTGGTATCAGGGTAACGCTTGTCTCTAGGAATAACTTTGAGAGTATTGGTCACCTTGACACACTTCCCTTCACCATCTCCCAGGAAATCCCCTTCATCTCTGTCTTGTGTCAGATAACCCTGTTTCTTTGAGCTTGTCTCTTTCTATCTTCTGGCTTACTTCCTCATTTTGTGGGGTCATATCCTCCAGGATATACTTGAAAATGGATGCATGACAGTTTCTGGAGTGCTGACTATACAGATATGTATAGCTGAGTAACATCATTATATCATTCTAGAAAAAGTATAGTCAGCATTCCAGAATTCTCTTACATTCAGAAATAACTACTAGCCGGGCGTGGTGGCCCACGCCTGTAATCCCAGCACTCAGGAGGCTGAGCCCAACTACATAGTAAGATCCTGTCTCAAAAAACCAAAAAAAAAAAAAAGAAAAAAGAAATAACTACTACCCTGACCTTTATGATAATTACTTCTATTTTAAA